GATAGGACCAGTTAGGCCATTAATAACACCACCTGCAGATGTCCAAACACAAGTCATACTTCACCTCAAGTGTCTGAAAAGGCACTGCTGGGATTTGAACCCAGGATCTCCTGTTTACTAGACAGGCGCTTTAACCAACTAAGCCACAGCGCCTGATGTCAGTCTTACTCAAAACTCATCAAACCCTGACAAATCTGTCATATTATCAATGCAGTTGCTCAGTCAGGGCACAGCGCACTCTCATCCAATCTTCAGTTGTGACAGGTGTGACGGCTGTAATACAATGAGAGAAAAATATTCTGGGTTTCCTGACTCATAATGAGCCTTTAGGGTGTCTATATCTGACAGTAAGCATGATCAACCTGCATACAGCAAAGGTAAGAAATCGATGTTCCTAAATCTGACTAAAATGGGATCTACCATCTTATCAGGGTTTTTCTTTAGTACTGGCTCAAGCAGAAAAAACCTGCTAACCTCAACGTTTAACCAATCCTAGTTCTAACTTGAACCCTTAAAGCAAGTCTTAACCCCTTAAACATCCCTGTAAAGGTCTGTCACGGAGTCACACTGTCCTTACTTTCAACAAATGTTCTCACTTTCAAAGTCTAAAACCGAAATTTATCCACACAGAGATAGATGTAAAAGTATACCTACCCACATAATATCCGTAGCGTGTCTGCGGATTGAGCCTTCACCAGAACTTTTTCGGTCTAAGTTAAATTCTCTCCTTCCAGCTTCCAGACTCGTATTACGGGCTGCATGCGTCAGATGGCTGAGCTCCTGTACCAGATGAAAGGCCCCCCCAACCACAACACTGCAGAGGCAGATGCTGACGCCATGCTGAGGCCCCTCATGGAGTTCCTGGATGGGAAGTAAGTCGAGGCGTGACACACGCAGTTTGCTGCAGCTTACATCAGAGCTGCTGTTCACAGCGCCGCTAATTTTATCAATTAAATGAGCTGTGTATTTATAACAATTCAAACGATTTTTCTGTCCAGTTTCGATCGATATAGCACCACAATAATAATAATAACTAAGTTTATCTAATCCTGGTGGGTAGAGAACCGCCTACAACAAATCTGTTTTGTCCCAGTGTTATTTTTGTATTACTAAAATATGATATGGTTGCAATCCATTATTTTAAACTCTTTCTTAAACGTTCATGCCACTATTTGTTATTAACTGATATTAATTGTGTCTGTTGCAGTTTTAAACATCATTTCCACGTTGTTTTGTGCATCCAGCATCAAACTTGACACTTGAGCTTGTTTGCTGGGTCAAAACAACCTTTTAGTAGTTTTTATAAAAAATGAAACCTTAACAATAATACTGTAGTAGAAAAATAGTGGGAAAAAAACAAACAGGACTTCGTCTGGGTCAGAGCAACCTTTTAGAACTTGGTAAAGGTAGTATATTAACCCAAACCACATCAGTTTATTCAACGTTTTTAGAGTTTAAACACAGAATCATTTGTCGGGATGCGCTTTATTCCAGATGTATTTCTAAAGTCTTGTCTGTCACCATCAGGCAGCAAGATTGAAAATGGCATCATTACAACAGTTAAAAGTAACTGAATAATTTCACAGACTTCTCAGAACAGTTGACAACTCTTTCTGGATGAATTACTGCTACAAACACAACAGGAGTAAGTCTGGGAACATGCACTGGAGGTGTTTCAGTGTTTACGTGGTAGTTTTGTCTGTCAAAGAACAAACAATGCTGAGATTTCTGTCTAATTCACTTTTAATTCAGACTTTAAATACCTCCTACAGTGAAAATCAAGTTTTTTTTTCTACCCTGTCAACATGTCCGTATGGTGTTATTTATCAGCTAGAAGACATATGAGCAAAATAAGCAGGCAGCACCGTGGTTGAGCATCTTGTGGGACGTGCACAGCTGCATTTCTTCAATATTACAGCGTTGGGAATTAACAGCACAGAGCTCCATCTAAGATATTAAACAGCAGAGATTGATCATTTTTGAGAATAAAAATCTTCTAAATATTTAACTTTAGTACACAGAGATGAGTTTTTCAGGGTCAAATCGACACACAGAGGCAGACTTGAAATGATTGTGTACTCCTTATCTGTTCGGCGGTGAGTGCAGAATCTCCAGTATGGACGGATAAATGTCAATAAAACACACATAAAAACACAATTTAAATAGTTTTTGAAAGTTTAAATTCAGTTGAAATAAGATATGAAACTCTCCCAATGCAAATTAAAGTTGAATGTAAAAAGTAAAGTTTTGTACATTAACCAGCTGTTGTCTTGTAAAATCAAGTTGTTTAGTGTCCTTTGGGCAAAATTCTCTTTGTTTCTGTGATAACTAACAGAACAGACATTAAATTACAGACAGATATATATATATAACAACATCACCGGCAGTCAGAAAGCAACATTCAAGTAGCACAAACGTTATACTGCCCAGATTTGGATAACAGAACTGTACAGGATGATCTAAAGGATCTCTAGAAGAGGCGACTCCATCTGCCTTTATATTGACAGAAGCAGTTCATATTAACCAAAGGGCCTCCAATACATCACCGAGGATTGTCCAACCTTCTCTCACCACTCAGGACTCACAAACAAGTGCAGCTGTTGACCCACAATCTTTCCTGACATATTAACGTTCTTTTTCAGTTGCTTCTTACCAAGTCCACGCTTGAAAACACCGAGAAATAAAAACCAAGAGTTAGGAAACAGTCAGCACTCTGAACACCACTCCAGACTGCCAAAGCTTCTGCATTAAGTGTAATCATTTATAAACCTCTCCTGGAAATGACAAGCGCGTTTAAATCCCATGACAGTTCTCCATCACCGTCTGTAAGATATTTATGTCTAGTCGCCTTTAATAGCTGCTTAATCTTTGCAGGACAGAACATTTCTAATATCAGGTTTTTGTTTTTTTTACTGTGTCTTCTTCTTTGATGTTAGTCAAGTTCAGATTTGCAGAAGGAGGTTTTAGTTTTGTCTCTTTCAGTCATGTGGCTGAATGACACTTTTGCTTCAATGACAACCAGATTTATTAGAATTTATGAGACTATAATTGGGAAAAATAATTCTTTATATCTTAAAAACTCAGGTTAAAAGTCAGGATATATGGATTCTCCAGTAAACACAGCACTGGTGTGACTGTCCTCTTTCATACACTTTGTTTTTGCATGTGCATTAAATCGTGGTTATGCCCCTAATTATGTCATTTGTACAGCAGTCAGGTCACTAATAAAGTGTTTTTGGAAGCATTGGTGAACTCTGAGGGCTTTAGGGCCGATCTCAGTCACATTTATCATGAGTTTCTTTGTGATCCAGCCTCAGTATCTTTGCGGACATCTGTGAGAAGACGGTGCTGAAGAGGATCCTGAAGGATCTGTGGAAGATCGTCCTGAGCAGCCTGGAGAGATCCATCGTCCTGCCTCAGAGCAACGACAGCCTGGTGAGCACAAAACACAAACATACGCCTCATCCCAGTCTGAACTCTATACAAACCCTAATTCTAACCATAAAACCAGCAACTTAGCATTGCATTCCTATAAAGAAAGTTTTAAAGAGTGACCAAAACTGATGCAGCGGAACCAGAATCATCTCTTCTAGTCCACACATGCTGCTTCCTTGGTGCCAACATTACCCACAATGCACCTGACAAACTGTCCCGTATCCCAAAAATGTCAATCATCAGGTCTAAAACTGGCGAGTGAACAGAGTAATCCGTGTCCCTCATTTCTTTTCATTTTGATAAACGTCTCAGTGGCTCGTCACAAATCCAGCTTTACATACTGACGAGAGTAGTTAGAGACATACGCAGTTATTAAAGGACAAACATCTGAGTGGAGCTTCTTGTATTAACTGAGGCCAAATCTAACTGAATCCACCCTCGTTGTCGTTGTGTCTTCAAACAGCAAATACGTTTTTCTTAAATGCACTCTAACGGCAACAAAAACATGATTTTGACAGAAAAACAAAAAAACAAAACAGAATAAAAGGGTAATAAATCTCCAGGAATGCAGGCAGAGACCTCTGAGGCTCTGCTGCCGTCTGCTGGTGGATGACAGCAGGTGTGTTTCCCGTTCGTAAAATGTTTTACACAAGGTTTGTTCTGCTTCTTCTGTGGAGAAAAAGTCCTCACGTTGAATTACTGCGTTTTAAGCAAATCACATTAAATGTTGCTGTAATCTACTTTCTTCTCTCTGCAGGGAGCCCAACTCCTCACAGCCGCTAAAGGACTCTCTAATCTCAAGGTAAGACACTCAGAGGAGGCTTTTCATTTTGCTAAAGTGTCTCCTGGCTTCCCTCACCAACATCTTAACTCCTCCCTGTGAGTTTATGAGGAAGAGATGCGAGGATGAGCCAAAGCTGCCAAAAAGAAATCCTTCGTTCCATAGCTTCAGTATTAACCGTTGCTTATGAGATGCTGCACAGTTGAATGAACTGTCAGACGAAGGAAGCGTTTATGCATCACACCACTTGATAACAGATGTGCAGGTGAAGGTCACACCTGTGCTTCCGATGCATCGTCTCTCGTCAAGGTGCGTTTACTTAAATGAAAGGTCAGCACTCTGTCTGATGTGTGTTTCTGATCTCCGGTGTCTGCAGGGAGGAGGTGAAGCCAAAACTCTGACGCCCAAACAGTGTATAATCATCGATGCAGGGCTGGAGACCATCAAGGTAGGAGAGCTGCAAGCTTTCATGTCTGAATGCAACGTACTCGACTTAAGACATCTGTACATTTTCAACATTTCCACCAACTAATGATTTGTCCCTCTGAGCTTCTCACACAGTTTCATTTCAGTACATCGTCAACTGACCCAAAATCTCAGCAAAAAAAATAAAAAAATAAAAATCAAGATTAAAAGGATTTTTAAAAAGTCTAAAATCTGAAAACAGATTTGTGCTTTTTTCTTCTTGTCTTTCCACTGTATCGTGTTTGGAGTCCTCTGATTTATCATCTGTCCCTTTATATGAAACTGGACATAAAGTGGTTCAAACCTGCAGCAGCTCCAACAGCAACACACTCCTAGTAATCTAATCACGTCATGTATAATCATACATCAGTCAGAGGGACCAAACCAGCTTTATTCTAATGCTTTAACTACATTTTGCTGCTCGTACTTATGTAGGACATATTGTCCCTCAGAGCTTTTACTCAGAATGGAGCATTTTTACGTTGTTGTATTGTTTTTGTCTTTCACTTACATCTTGACTTGTGATTGTATTTTTTTTTGACATTTTTGAGATTCTTTGTCATTATAAAACCCAGCCAAATCACACATCTGCTGGCTTTACTATACTTTGCACCTATCACAATATTTTGCACTAATTATTGCGCGGTTTTTTACATCTGTAAATATATTATACTATAAATATACTGGCCATATGTGACTGTCTAGTGGTAGTGTTTTACTACAGTATTGCACTATCCACTGCAGTGCATTGCTTGTTTCTTAGAATAGAATCGAATATACTGTATTAATCCCACAAGGGGAAATCTGCAACATCACAGCAGCAAAGTGACAGTAAGAAAAACAAGAAAACACAACTACATATTAAAGAGGTGAGGTATATACACTATATATGCAATATAAATAAGAAAAAACAGAAGAACACAAGGATACTAAGAGCACAAATGTAAGAATATCTACATGAATAGGAGTTTGTGAAAAGCTTTTCTATGATATTCATGTCTGGCAGCTTTCTCCAAACACAACAAAGTTCAGTTATTTGTCAGAAGGATAAACGTTTCCTGCATGCTTAATACATTTTTCAACATATTCTTCAGATGTTTCTCCCAGATTCTCTGTTTCATCCTTTATTGATTTACTGAAGAAAAAGTTTTCTGGTTTATACACATTTTAGGAAAAATAAATAATTCTTGTGTAGTTAACACACAGTATAACATTTTGTTGTTATTGTGGAATCATTTTTTTCTCACTTTCAACTCGTTGCTCTTTCAGCAATATTTCCACGCAGGAGGAAACGGGCTGAAGAAGGCGTTTGTTGAGAAAAGCCCTGAGCTGGCGTCTCTACGTTACGCCCTCTCCCTCTATTCTCAGAGCACCGATGCTCTGATAAAGACCTTTGTCACAACGCAACACTCTCAAGGTGAACACACACACAAACATGCAGAGCATCTTTGCCTTGATGGGTGTTTCGTGCATGTTTTAAATTGGCTAAAATGTTCCTTAAACCCTTCCTTCTCTGTCCTCTCAGTGCATGATGGGATGGGCATCAGGATCACTGGCAATGAGAAGATTAGACCTGACAGAGGTGAGTTCATTCGAGTCTGAAATCAGGGTTTTCGTGGTCTCTAAAAAGAACCGCTGAGCGTCTTTGTAGAAGAACACACCTCACTGAAATCAAGAGAAACATACAAATATTAGAAGTTTAAGAAATGTCTTGCTCAGCACCAAAACCTGGTCATGCCTGTTAACAAATAAGCCACAGTTTTATGTTATATTAGAGTATATTTTTGCACATTTTCCAAGGCCAGATGTCTTATTATTTGTTATTTCCTCATCGTTTCTGAAGCTCGGGCCTCCATTCTGTGTTTACTGGACTTTTGAGTTCTGCTGTAAATTAGAAAATTATCCCTTTATCAAATAATGAGTGTTAAAGTGTAAAAGATCAGCCGCTGTGATGTTTCTCAGAGCACAAATGGGAGATTATGCAGTGGGTCACAGGAGCAGCGATGGGATAAATGAAGAATAAAGTGAGTAAAGATGGTGTTAGTCATGCTAATGTGTAATAATTGTCCAGGTGCCGGGGTGGATAAACCGATCGGAGAGGCCCTGCTGCAGATCGACATGATGCTCGGGAAAGAACGCAAAGTCAACGTCAAAGGTGAGACTCCTGAGTTTCACAATATTTAAACTACAACCTTAAACCTCTCTGATGTTACTGTATCAAACCTCCAACGTGTTCTCTTTTGAATTCAAGCGTTAATCTCAGAAGCATTTAGCAGTTACCTCGTGCTCGTTTATTTCTTCTTCTACTGCCAGCCCTCGTCCAAAGAGTTATCCATTAGCATTCCACAGAAACTACTTTTTAAGAATCTTGTCATCTTCGTGCTTTAAAGTGCAGTAAACTACACTTCCAACAAACCAGAATTCAGACAGACATTCTAACCTCAATGTACATTTTCCAAGAAGAACTTTAAGTTCAACTGTTGTTGTTGTTGTTGTTGTTGTTGTTGTTGTTGTTGTTGTTGGAAAAAACTTCAGATTTGTCCACATAGAAGATGTTTTTTTAGTAAGTCCCTCATTTGCAAAATCCTTAATTGCCAAACAAAAATCACATAAATGGGAATAACAAGTGAGGTGAATGATTACTGTGATAGAATACTTCATTGTAAGTAAATCTGATGGTTTTGCAAGTTAACTGCTGAAACAAACTGAAACAGATCAGTGACTGGAACATAACAACAAAGTGACTGGTGCCTTATAGACATGTAAAACAATAAATGTGGTCTTTCAATAAAGAAACTTGTCCCTTTAATAGTCTAAAACATGCAAAAGAAAACTAACATGGTTCTTTAAAAGAAGAAACTTCTGCTTTAAATAGCTTACAACCTGCAAAACAACTAATGTAGCCCTTTCAAAAAAGAAAGTTCTCACTTAAATAGTCTCAAACATGCAAGACTTCTACTTTGGGCCTTTAAAAGAAACTTCTCCTTTAAATAGTATAAAACATGTAAAACAACAAATTAAAAAATTAAAGATGTCTCCTAAATTTTTTAAAACATACAACATGGTGCTTCATAGAATAGGAAAGTTCTCCTTCAAATAGTCCAATACATGCAAAACAACTTCTATGATTCTTGGAAAAAAAAAAAAAATTTAAAAGCCAGCATCTGCTAAAACAGCTCGTATGAACTTAAAAAAGAAAGAAACTTCTTCCTTAAATACTCTAAAACATGTGTAACAACTAGTATGACCTTTCTAAATCTCCCTTAATAGGACCATCATCAGTATTAAATCTGTTTCCTCCTCTCCTCCCTCTCTTCTCTCCCGCCAGTGATCGCGGTGAACGACATGAAGTGGCAAACATCGGGGATGTTCAGGCCTTTTGTCGAGGTCTCCATGGTTGGCCCCTTCCTGGCCGACAAGAAGCGCAAATTCACCACAAAGTCCAAGAACAACAGCTGGACGGCAAAGTTCAACGAGGCCTTCCAGTTGTGAGTTTGACATCTGTAGCACCTTCAGATAGAGCATGTTGAGGAGCAGCAGGTCAGGTGCTGATTATTAATTTCTCCCTCTGCAGCGTCCTCGGTAAGGAGTCCCCCGACTGCTACGAGCTCCAGGTGGCGGTGAAGGACTACTGCTTCGGCCGGGCGGACCGGGTGGTCGGCATGGCCGTGGTGCAGCTGCGAGACGTCGCCGACCGAAAGAGCTGCGTGTGCTGGTGTCCCCTCGGGCCGCGGATCCACACTGACGAGACGGGCATGACGGTGATGAGGATCCTGTCCCAGAGGCCTGCGGACGAGGTGGCCAAAGAGTTCGTGAAGCTCAAATCTGAAACCCGCCCCGTGGAGGAGGGAAGATGAACAGAGGAGGCCTGAAGAAGGAGAATGATCTTCACTCGCCTCTAAAGCTCATGGAGGAGAAATGAGCAAAAGAAGGTTGACTAATTTCCATACTTATGATTAGAAAGAGATTTATTTGATTCAGAGGCTCTTTCTACATTATAAAAACATCATCAGCATCACAACACGTGGTTTCAAATCTCCAACTCTGTGGCATAAACAATATTTTCAGATGAACTTTAGAGGTCTTCTTTATCTTCTTACTCTAATTAGAGAATATTTTTGTCCTCTGTAGCCAATTAAATCTGGTTAAAAGCCACAGAAAGTTATTATTTTGGCAGAGTAAAGAAGTTCTGCCTCTTGTTAAGCAACTAATAGTGCGATAAGAGGCGGTAAGCCCACATTCCTGTTCTGTTTCAGCCTTAAACGCATCATGTGACATTGATACCACTACTGACTCTGGTATCCAAAAAACAAACAAACACATAATTAAACAGCCGAGTAATGTCACTTTAACATGAATAAATGCTGTAATTAGCATGAGTTGTTGCAGAAAGTTAACCAAAGAAGACTGATCCAAAATGACGGTGAGGGAATTCAGTAGCGAACAATAATTCCCCGACTCGGTTCGTGGCGTCACAACTCTGATCCGTTTATCGACACTAATGAGACACTTGTAGCACCGGACGTATCTTGCGGTCAGGAGCGTCAGAAAATTACAACTCCTTTGGACGATACGTTGACAAATATGTCGGACGGCGATACATTCTGCCGCTTTGAGACGAGAAGAAGTGCGTCAGGACGTCGCTATTAAATGCTGAATGTCTGGTAATATTTTTCTGAATATTAAAAAAAAAAAAAAAAAAGCTTGAACAGAAAGAAAACACGCTGAGAAAAAGGATTTTGTAGCGAGTTCTGATGAATTACGTAGCCTTAAAAAAAGAGCTAACGACGCTAACGAAGCTAGCTCGGCCTGGGACTCATGGAGACTTGAACGAGATCTACGACACGGACTTGTAAAGTGAAAAGGAATTGTTTTCATTCAGAAGCAAAGAATTATGAGTTTAAATTATCCGAGGTTTGAATTGTTCTGTTTTTGACTGTGACTGTGAAGACCTGCTCTGAACTGAAGCAGCTAACAGAATGTACGTAGCTGGTTTAAGCTGCTGTCGGCAGAAATCTGACTGGAAAAGACAAAAAAAGACAAACATTCTGTGGCTTCAGCTGGGATTCCAGCCTCATCTCCCTAGATCGACCTATTTATCCCGTTGCAACACCATATTCTATTGCTGCGGCAGGTTTTGTTTCTATTTACGCTTTCTCAGCTGTTCTGATTAAAGCCATGAAAGTCTGAAAACAAATCCAAGACGAGGTACAGACATCTAGTTTCCTCTCAGATCACTTAAATTTCCTCATGCTGAAAGGTTTAAATTTGCCCAATAATGTCGATAAAAGTACTGCCTACTCAGCTTTAAACAGTGAAAGCCACCAGAACCTCTACTTTTACAGTTTTTAAACACCAGAAACTGTGAATATCTGCTCTGAATGACAACAGCTAACAGAATGTGTTCAGGTGACTAAAGCTGCAGTAGGTAGAAATATGGCTGGAAAGGGCGAAAAAAACAAAAAAACACACATTGCAACACCACATCCTACTGTAGCTGCATGATTGGTTTCTACTTACACCATCTCACCTGCTCTGATTGCAGCCCTGTGATTGGTTAAAGTAGGTTTTCTAAAGCTTGAGATCTAAATTTCAACATACTGGAAGGTTTTTATGGAAATTTATCCCAATGATGTGCTCAAAAAAGTCCTGCCTATCCCAGCTTTAAATGGTGAAAACCACCAGAAACACTAATTTTACAGTTTTTACAAACCAGAAACTGTGAATGTGAAGACCTAATCTGAATGAAAACAGCTAACAGAATGTATTTAGATGGTTAAAGCTGTAGTAGGCAGAAACATGGCTCTAAAGGGCGGGAAAAAAACCGTAACAACTACTATTATATCAGATCTATTGAAGCCTTGTGAAGGACTAGAGCAGATTTTCTAAAGCCTGAACCAAAGCTTTAGAGGATGTGCAGACATCTAGTTTCCTCCCAGATCACTTGATTTTCAACATGATGAAAGATTTTTTGAGGAAATATTGCCAAATGATGTGAAAATAGTCCTGCCAACAAAGCGTCTGGGGGTGGAAGCTACAGAAAGCAGAAATATGGCTGGAGAAGGCAAAAGAAAACATTTTATTTGGCATCATGTGGGATTTTAACCCCATTTTCCTCTGTGAACGCCTTCCATCTATCTCACTGCAGCACCACATCCTACTGTTGCTGCAGGACTTGTTGTTATTTACACATTCTCCCTGCTCTGATTGGTCTTCTCAAGCCTGAAACTTAAATGTTAACATACTAGAAGGCTTTTATGGAAATTTATCCCAATGGCGCCCCAAAAAAGTACTGCCTACCCCGGCTTGAAATGGTGAAATCGCTTCCGTGGAGGTCAAGAAACTCCACATTTACAGTTTACAGATAAGAACAACTCAGAAGCCACCACCTTGCCATGCATGCACAGTCGCATACTCGACCTGTTTTCTGAATATCTGATTTTGCATTAACTTGGAAGCTAAAGCTCGCAGACAGGTTCGACTGATTTGGGTTCGATCCACACTCGTGTCTGTTTACTACGTGCCAAGGAACGCAAGTGTTCACAGCGAGCCACGTTCAACTAACTCTTCTTGATTTGGGTGGTTTACGGACAGATGCGGCCTTTTTGCAGACGTCCCACTTTTTACTGTCCAAACTTAGAGCTTCGCGTTTTGTTCTGCCGCGTTGAACCGAACAAACAGTGATCTGCAGTGAGAAGCGGGATCTTTGACATCGGCCACGTCGGCAGTGACAGCTGAACTCTTGCACTCTGTTTAAAACTAACTGTAAGTTTGTAAAAAAAAAATAGAATAAAGATAAACGAGAAGAGCATGTATTTATTGTACACAAAGTCAACTAGAATGGTGATTTTTTTTTCTTTTTTTCCATGTATGTACTGTGAAATATGAAGATTGATCAAATGTATGTATCAATATTCTAATGTGACATATGTTGAATATACTTGTAACAATATTTTGTATATAAAATATTTATGAATCAAAGCAGCGGCTCGTGTCTTCTGTTGGTTTGAAGTCTGCAGTGAGACGTTCCAGAAACCACACTATGAAGCAGTCATCTGCCACATTTCAGTGTTCTTACTTCTGCTCACTGCTTCTTCTCTCAGCCTTTACTGGTTTATTTACTCATGTTCTCCACTCAAGCACAGCTTTGTGGCACTTGCACTTTACTTTTTCTGCTACTTTCACTTCACTACATTTCAGAGGGAAATGTTGTACTTACTGCTCCACGACACTCGTTGATTTTAAAATGCACATTTTTCATCATGAATGATTCAACAAGGTTCTAAAAAATAACATTTTACTAAAGTATAAACCAGAAGTTTCCAGCTTGAGTGTATGAAAATGAATCCATTAGTGTTCACAAAGCTCATATTTTAATGCTTCTGCTAAATGCTCTATTTATCCTTTTACTTTTTTACAGTTATGAGTACGTTTGCATGACTATTAAAGGAGAAAAGGGCTTTTTTGTGCATCTTTTAAGCTATTTAAGAGAGAAGTTTCCACTTTTTAAAGGATAATATTAGGTTTTTTATATGTTTTAGTCTGTTTAAGGGTTTTTCCTTTTTTTAAGGAACTTGTAAGTAGTTTGACATGTTTTTGACGATTCAAGGAAAACGTTTATTTTTTCAAACAACCATATTAGTTTCACTTTGGATTATTTTTTTTTTTTTAAAGGTCCAAATTAGTTGTTTTACTTTTTTTTAGACTATAGTGCATCAGTCACTTTGCAACGAAGTGTATATTCTATTTCTAAATTACTTCCAGGAGTTCTGCTTTGTGGTGGTGCGGTGGTTAGCACTGTTGCCTCACAGCTAGAAGGTCGCAGGTTCGCGTCCCGGTGGGGGCACCAGAATCTTTCTGCGTGGAGTTTGCATGTTCTCCCCGTGCAGTGTGGGTTCTCTCCAGGTTCTCCGGCTTCCTCCCACAGTCCAAAAACATGTTGAGGTTAATTGGTGATTCTAAATTGTCCGTAGGGGTGAATGTGAGTGTGCTTGGTTGTCTGTCTCTAAGTGTAGCCCTGTGATAGACTGGTGACCTGTCCAGGGTGTCCCCTGCCTTCACCCTGAGTCAGCTGGGATAGACTCCAGCCCCCCACGACCCTAGTGAGGATTAAGCGGTGTATAGATAATGGATGGATGGAGTTCTGCTTTGTCTGATTTATTTCTAATGTCCACACTTTAACTTCTGCTCAGGCCATCGTTGGACGGAATTGTTCTGAAAATACCTGAAAATAAAAGTCAGAAGGTTTTGATTTTTCCAACACTAACAGGTTCAACAAAGCACCACTGAGAAAAGGCTAAATGTGAGACATCTGAATTATATTTGAGCGTGTTAATGAGTTTTGTTTGATAAACCTTCCACCACATGGGGGAGTCGTTCTCCTGCCCAAGTAGCCAGAGGTTATAGAATCAGACATTTACTGTGTTGCTCATTTGCAGGACCAACTGTTTTTTTGCTGAGCAGTATTGATCTATGAAGAGATGTTGTGTTTTCCAGTCTGTGATTGGAAGCAGACGTGTCACAGAGAAAGGGGAGGCAGAAACTGTGAGTATTGAACCATTTCTGATTTTGGAACCAGAGGACAATTTCTCATTTTGTAGGAATCTAAACAAAGCAATCAGCAGCCACTGTGGCGTTTTCTGACAGACAAAAAGGCTTTACAGATATTTTGTGCTCTTTTCTCCTCTTCAGCAGTCGACACAGAGCTTCCTCTAGAGTGACTGATGATCTGCTTGAAATACAACGAGATTTAGACTTTTTGTTTGTTTGTTTGTTTGTTTGTTTGTTTTTTGTCACCTGGATATACAATAATTAAAAATATTAATTACAAAATATAAATTAAATGTCGAAAAATATTAAGAAAATTTCAGGAAATGTTTTCAAAATGTCTGAGAAACATTAATTAAATGTTTAAAAAAGCACACATTAAGATGTTAAAAATAGAATCAATGTACAAAAATGTATTTTTAAAAATAAACAAAAAATATGAATAAAATGTTAGTCCTGCAAAATGTTATTATAATTTCCAAATATATGTATAAATCATCTAAAACTATTGTGAAAAGTTGGAAAATATTACTATCATATGTCTGAAAAATATTAATGCAATTTTAGAAATGTTGTGTTGGAAATATTATCAAAATGTAAAAAAAA